ATGTGTGTGTGTGTGTGGTTAAGATATACATATATGTATATATAGATGTGGTTAAAATATATATACATATATATATATGTATATGCATGTATACACACATATATATGTATGCATGGGAAAACCCATCAAATACACCCCTATAGTCTTCCTGGCTCTGTTATTTAGCAGCATGAAAAGAAAAATAAAATAAAACAGTTCAAAACCCAAAGGTGAATTCTGTGCGGCGGGTGCCTTGGGGAATGTTCCTTCCGGAGTCCATCGTCCGTACTGAAAGTGCTGTGCTCTACCGATCCTTCATTTTTAGGGTTCATTTGGATTAGTGTTTTGTTTTGTTTTTTTTTTCCTGTCCAGGCAAGAAATCAGGCTCCAGAAACAGGGCTGTTCCCCCTTCTTTTCCGCTGCTCACCGTCTTGGTTTTTCACATCTGTCAGAGAGGAGAGGGAAGGAAAAAAAGAGAGGAGGCGTTAATGTTTGTGATGGGGGTGCAAGTAGGACAAGGAAGTGAAGGAAGGGAGGTCGCTAATGTGTTTAAGAGCACATGGTGTTAAGACATGGCATGACGTCACTGGTGGGGTGAAGTGCTGTGCAGATGGGGCAAAACAACTGCGAATCTCGACCCACGAATGGGTCAATGAATTCTATTCCCCCAGGCTCACCTAGACGAGGTGTGGGGGATACTGGTACAGGGGTAAATTTAGGAGCAGAATCAGATGCTTCCTCACAGATGAGCCAAGTGTCTTGGTTGCACCCTCTCACACCATGCGCACACAGAGACACACAAACATACAGAAAAACAAGGCTCAGCAATGCATGCAGAAAGACACGCTCCCTCAGCTCTCCACCTAGCCTGTTGTTTGGGTTGGAAGCAGTGCAGACAACAAGGCCTCATGCAGGCAAGAAGGTGAAAAGAAAGTGCCTGTCATTCCACTAGCTGCCATGAGCAGGGGTTAGCATCACAGAACAGCAGCAGCGGCCTAAAGCAGCAGCAGGAGAAATGAGAATTTACCCTCCCCTGTAGGGCCCAATTCTAATTCTACAAGAAAGAGCATGAGGAACTTCAGCTTAACCCACTTTTTATCTGGAAACAGATAAGCTACCCACTCCTATGACTCCTTACTATCTTTCTGGCCAACACATCAGCTCTGGAAACCTCCCTTAGTGCCAATTATCCCACCACAGAGAATGGCTAGTAAGAGAAACTATTAAACCCCTTCTACCACCATGGCTTCTTTGGGGTATTGTTTTTCTTTGTATTTCTGACTAATTCTCACCCTTCAAACTCTGTAGGGTAATTTCCAGTTATTCTGGGGTTTAGGAACAGGAGCAGAAGGAAAAGGCTGAAGTTAGGTCTGATTTCACGCTTCAAGGGTTATGCTTGCTGGGAGAAGTTTAACTCCAGAAGCTCCTCTATTCTGGCCCCTCCATCAATTACTTTCCCACTGAAATTACAGCACCCCAGAAAATTCCTCTGTATATAGAGCAGTTTCCACCACGCTGGCAGTGCCAACACCTCTCTGGCTAGGGCATAAAGCGTTTTCACACCTAAAGGAAGCACTTGCTACTTGTAGCAGCCTTAGTCAACTAGCCAATTCCAGGCAGGCAAATGGAGGCAAAAGGATGTCTCCTCTTTCAGGATGCAGCCACACAGGACCCTGGGTCTCTCTCCCTTATTCTCTCCCATCCAGCCACCGCCACTGCAATACTTTGACAGGAGGAATCCCCTAGATCTCTGTGAAAGGGGTCTGAGTTCAGAGTCACAGTCAAAAGCTCATTACCAAGCCCATTCCTATGTCTCTCTCTGGATAGGTAGGATGCAGAGATGCACACGCAACTGGTGTGAGTCAAGACACCCCACTGAGTTCACCAAAGTGCTCAGGTGAGAACCAGAACACGTGTCTATGCCACAGATGGTGCACGACAGGTAGCACTCAGATGACACATGCACAGCACAGTTCTCTGAACAAACACTAACCACACAGTGTCTTTGCATCTCCCACCTCACACCTGAAATACAGACCTCTGCCTGCCTTCACCTAGAGACAGACTTAGTCCTGCTGCATCCCACGTCACAGCCCTGAGCGCAGCCCCTCAAACCACAATTCTGGCCGAGACATGGACAGGGAACTGTGCGCACAGTGCAAGAGGACAGGGTGCTCTCCCCAGCTTTTAAGAACAAAGAGGCAAAGGAGAATGTGGGGACAGCCTTGAGGGAGGCTCCTGGCCTGTCTTTCCTCACTCTGCACACAGCAGAGTGTCCACAGGCTACATGAAAAGGACTTAGAAGACAGGGGTGGTCAAATCCTAGTCAGCTAAGGATTGCCTTTGTCCAACAATATGCTCAACAGTTGCATCCAGATAATGTACAGAGTGCTACAGACCCTCCCCCTGGCTACCTCAGCAACATGAACTCCATTATCTTGTTTTACAGGAAAGGATACCACAGATACAAACGCCCTGTCTCTGGGAGCCGTCCCCGTCCAAGTCCTGACAGCACATCTGAAACGCACAGCCTCCCTTTGACACAGAGGACATGTCCTCATCTCAGTTAGCCCCTCTGCCCTCTGGCCCACATAGAACAGAGAAAAGAAGTAACCATATAGCACTGGTGCCAGAAGTCA